TTGAACAAATTAGAGACACTTTGGTTAAACAGAAACATGTTATGAATAAACCTGAGAAAGAATCTGGCTCGTTATGGGAATAGATGCACTTCTCAGTCATACATTGTGAGGCCTTGGAGGTGAAACAGACTGAGTAAAAACATTTTTCATTGGATAAATAGCAAAACTCAATATATGAATTAATAGAAATGTAAAGAAAGTTGCCAGAGGCTTCATGCATAGAAGAGTCTGTGGCTAAAAGTTGTTGCTAGGGAGATATATTTGAACTTGTGATGTATGACAGTGTTCAGATTATGGAACCGAAAACAAGCGTTTCTTGTTGCGTGCAAAAAGAAATCTATTAAATAGAATTATGAAGAACAAAAAAAAGGCTTTCAGAGGAACTTTTTTTCTTTTTTTATAATTAGTTTTTCACATCGAATTTCTTCAAAATTAATTTTTTCTACATTTATTTGCTTTTATAATTTTCAGATCAAGTTTGTCCATTTTCTTTTTCAGATTAAATTGAAGGAATTCATTTTTGCTCACATCGAATATCATATATTTTTAAAGAGGAATTTGAAAAATAACGTTTGAAAGCAAAAATAAAATAAAATCTGAAAAAAAGTTATTTTTTTTTCAGTTTAAGTTTTATTAATTTCATTCTTTTCTATCAAAAATCTCATTCTTACCCAATCAAACGCTCGCTCTTGACCAATTAAAATGTAGTCGCTAACATCCAGCAGACCAATAGAAATGCATCTTTGCTCCTCCCACCAGAGGAAAGCCCCGCCCCCACAGGGGGAGGAGAATTGATCAGTAAAAGTTCTTCAGATTAAAGTACTTTAAAAAGAATTTACAAAACTCATTCTCAAAGAGAAAAAACATTTTTTTAAACACAAGTTTAAAAAAATGCTATTTAAAAAAAATATAAGAAGAAATAAAACTGAAAAATATTAATTTCAATAAACTAAATATGTGAAAAGAGCAGAATTACTGTTTTTTTCTGAAATTTCCCTGACAATAATGGATCAAAATTCACTCCATATTCTAAGTTTCTGTCCTGAAAGCGGTGAACCTGTTCCATGAAGTCCGGCCAATCAGAAGTGTGGATAGCCGTATCCATGGTAACAGATGCAGGGAGGCTTCTCAGGGTTAGACAAACAGGAAGTGGGTCTGCAGCTCGGTGCGGTTCTGTCTGGCTCCGGTGGGACTGATGGAGCAGAACCGGGTCCAGATCCGCTGACGGCTGCTCTGACGTCTCTCCGTCTGCAGGTGGCTCAGCAGGCTGTGTGACGCGGCAGAACCCAACGAGCTCATCAACGCTGAAGGTCTGAACCTCCTCCTCTTCCTCGCTTCCCTCCCGCTCCTCCTCCTAACCCGTTTCTCCCTGCAGGGAGTTACAGCGAAGACAGCGACCAGGAAAATGACACACCTGAGCCCACCTGCCGGGACCTGGACCCAGAACCGGACCAAAGGGAACCAGAGGCCGCCACTGAACCCAGCTCTCCATCCTGCTGCAGAGACGCAGAAACACAGCTCCATTCAGAGCGCTTTCCCTTCCTGTCCTCACAGGCAGAGGAGGCCCCTCCTCCCAGCGGGTCCCAGTCCTCAGACAGCAGAACCAGAACACAATCCTCCAGCAGCAGCCTTCACCTGATGGTGGACCTCCCAGGACCCGGTGAAGCAGCCAGGAAACCCCAGCTCTGCGTCCTAGAGGAGACAGAAGGTACCTACCTACATTGCCCCCTGGTTACCATGACAACGACAGCTGCTTCCTCTCACCGTGCTCATCCTGCCTCCACAGAGGGGCCCTCAGATGAGATGGAGTCTCTCTATGAAGGCCTGAAGGCAGCCAGACTGTCTCCGATCGGACAGAGAGACTTCCGGGCCTCGTTTATCCGCCGGAGTCGCAACGAGAAGGTCAACGAGAAGCTGCACCTTCTGAGGATCCTCAGCAGCACCTTAAAGGTCAGGAACACCTGGAACTTTCCATCTGAGCCCAAAACATCAGAACGGATCAGAAACCACTCTGCTGCAGGCAGTGAAGGCAGCCGCAAATTAATCATATCTTCTTAATTTAAGATCGATTTCAGTTAAATTAGGATTTATTGAGCTTCACCTTTAATAAATTGTTTTGATTAATTTTATATATTGATTTTTGATCAAATGTATCCAGTTTGATTTCTGTTAAACTTTCTCCTGTGAGCTGAAATCAGGGTTTCCACAAATCATTTAAAATCATTAAAATTCACTAAAATTCATTAAAATTCATTGAATATTGTTTTTTAATTAAGGCCTGATATATATATATATATATATATATATATATATATATATGAGAGTCACAGGAACTTGTTTAGGGCATTAAAATGAATTGTAAAGGTATTAAAAAGTAACTCAATCCTGTATAAACCCTGCGAAATGCCCTTTAGTTTGGGTGGGGGCGTGTCTTGTTGCTGTGGGCGGGGCTTCCCTCCATCATAGCCCATACACAGGAAGTGTAAACAGAAGAAATGTTGGTTGATGATCTGTAATTTGTGGATGTTGTTCAGGCGAAGGAGCTGGAGCTGCAGCTGATGGAGCAGATCATGGAGCAGCCGGACCTGCAGGCTCCGACCTACCGGCAGTGGAAAGAGTCCAACCAGATCCTCCTGGAGGACATCCTGCAGCCCAGCCGGCCAGCAGGGGGCGCCGCCAACCTCGGCCCAGAGACTGCAGATAATTAGCTGAAGGAGTCAGACTGGAACAGAAGACCGGACTGAGCGAGTCCTTAAAGGATTCTCTCTCGCTCAGGTCCAGAACCGGCTCCATCCGGTTCGTCCACAGGGACGGCCATGGACATCCTTCCCAGCGGCTGGGCCAGTAAACCTCACAGCCAGACCAGCAGGTTGTTACTGGTGGCTTCTTCCAGGAACGTCTCAGAAGTTCATTGGAAGGAAAAACTGCTTCAGGAAAAACTGAGAAATCAAGGTTCTGGATTCGATTTCCAGTCCAGGATGTCCTGGTGTCCCTCACCTGCTGGTTCGGCCCACTGGGTTCCAACTCCCTGGTCTACCAGGACATCCTGGATCACTTCATGCTTCGTTCTGCTGACAAGTTCTATGGAGACTCTGCAGGACTTAGTACCGACCCAAACTGCCAGTGGTACAGAAGCTCCTTCAGTTACCATGGTAACTATGGCCAGGATACAGGTCACCATCAGAGCAACATGGGGTCCATTGGACCTACTTCAAGCTGCATTGATGGTACCGGACCCGGTACCGAGTCCAGAACCCGGTGTTTTCTACGGTTCTGGGTTTTTATTCTCCGTTGCCAGAATCTAATAAAGACTAAAAGTTTACGTCTGAAAAGGACGAGTTTCGTTTCTAGAAAGTGGGTCAAAAAGACAGAATTTTAAGAAGATATAGTTTTTTTAGAACTGTCCAGCTCATACTTCAAGTTCTAGTTCTGTCAGACCAGCAAACCTTTGGTCAATACGCATTCGCAGAACGTCAATTTGCTTTTATCCAATTAGTTTGGTACGAAAAATAGACTTTAAACTACCTCAACAGGCGTGCATCCCTTTAGTGACGTACTAAAAACTTTTGCGCTTGAGGTAGTTTAAAGTATATTTTTCAAACCAAACTAAAGGGATAAATTAGACCCGAGGTCACGGATTAGTGGACTAATCCAGGCACAACCAAATTTAAAACATTTATAAATGACCGCATGTTGTCTGACAACAGTGTCTAATTTCACTTGCGCCTCTTCTCCTGTTAATACGGTAAAGCCCTGGGGAGCGTCCGGCTCCAGCCTTTTTAAAAAAATCTTATTTCTATTTTCTTTTTTTTATAAAAACAAAATACATGTTTAGATTTAGATAAAAAATATTAATATTTAGACATAGACTAAATCGGTTAAAGATTAATCTTTTAGTTTTTTTGGCACTAAATGTGAGAAAAAATATATTCAATATAAAGAAAGTTTACTAAATGAAAGAAACTTGAAAATAATTTTTGCTAAACTTTTACATTCATAATAATGATAATTGAAATATATTATTCTCACACTGGAGAACCCCCCCTCTGCATTTAATGGGAGCAGTGTGGGGTTAAAGGTCTTGCTCAGGGTCCCAGAGTGGCAGTCTGTGGGGTTTGAACCTACAGCACCCAACCGCAGCGCTCTAATCCAGAGGTCAGGGATTTGGGGACCCAACCTGATCTAAAACATTTATATATTACTGCATGTTGTCCGACGGCAGTGTCTAATTTCACTTGCTCCTCTTCTCCTGTTAATACGGTAAAGCCCTGGGGAGCGTCCGGCTCCAGGCTGCACGTGATCCAAATGAGCCAATGAGCTGTCAGTCTGGGTTGCTGCTGCTGCTACTTTTAGACACAGCAGGCAAACCTGTGGCAAGCCGGGCGATGGGAAAGAAGGA